TTTAAATGTTCCTGTACTATCAGGTTTCAGACTTGTGTGTCCCAAACACCACATTTGCATTTTGAATGATCTCATTGGAAAGCTTTATATTTGTGAAGAGCAGGGCAAAGAATTAGGAGACAGACAAACAGGTACTTTCAAAGGATTAAAACCAACTAAACTATTATCTAGGTGGTAATTGGGAAAAAAATCTAGGACAATACTTCACCATACATTTCTCACATCAATAACACTGAAACTATCAAGAAACTGATAAATCGTCAACATGTATTCATGGGTATGCTAAGAAATATCATCATTTCAGAGATTTTGTTTTCATAGTTAATAATCTGAACTATTTTGGGGGGTCTTTTATTTTTTCCTTCTTTTTTGTTGTTGTTGTTGTTAACGATCTGAACTGATGAGATAGCTTTCACAAATAAACACAAAGGAAAAGAAATCAATATGCAAAGAAAAGGAACCTGTTAAAGGACCCAGTGTTGTGGGCTGTCATTTTAGAGGTTAGAAAGGAAATAAGAATAGGGGAATGAGGAAAGCAAGAGAAGAGGGGGAAGGAAGGAGGGGCCAAAAAAAAGAATAGTCCTGTTTGGGACAAGCGGGCCTGAGAAAGCATTTAAGGTCATGTCGCATAGATCCTCAGAGAGATAATGCTCTACATTTGTATAATACCTTACAGGCTGTGCAGTTCACATAAAGAAAGAAATGTCCTCAATAAAGAATAATGCCTAGGGATAGAAACAAGAGACAGTGTACCCATAGTCCTCAAGTACCCATAGTCCTCAACAGGATGTGCCTGAGAGATGCTTAGAACAGGCACTGGGCACCAGAGGTTGCTAACATGTGTATATATGGTAAATAGGGAGCTGACATGGGCTGTAAATGCAATTTCTAGGATTTAAACCACACTGCTTTAGAAACTTAGAGTATCCTAAATTAGTTCATGCTAATAGTAGTCTAGACTTGGACTATCTGGTATGGTAGTCACTCATCATGCAGCTATTTAAATTTAAATTACTTTAAATCAATATAAAATCAAATTTCTCTTACAAGCCACATTTCAAGTATCCAGTCACTCAGGTTGCTACTGGATACTGTACATGGAAGGTAGAGATATAGCACATTTCCATCATCATATCAGGTTCTATTGGAAAGCACTAGTCTAGATGATCTTCCTGTGAAGTTGTAAGGCAGAATTCTGCTCTATTTTAAATAAGTTTTGTTCTTCATAAGGATGAGAGAAAAAAATTCTACTGGAAACACCATACTTTGCCTTTATTGGCATTTCTGTCTACCAGTTACCTCATTCTCACCAGCGACAGAGCCTGGGCCTCCACTTACAAACGCTGCTCCCTCCCAGATTTTAAGAGCATCCTAGGCCTTGTACAGAAGAATGTCAAAAGCACATGAGTGAAAGCACTGCTGGGCCATGGTTCAGTGGTTCATCATCAGGCCAAAAAGGAAAAATCATATAAGGGTTTTAAGTGGAAGAATGATATGATCAGATTTGCTTTCTGTAAAAATTTTAAAGTGTACAAAATTAATAACAGAGCAAGAAAAGTAGCCAAGTCCAATTAATATACTATAATGAAAGTCCAGGAAAGACAGGTTGGCAGTTTGATGATGGCATAAAAAATGGTGCTATTCACTGTACTTGAATCCCTTCGTTGATAACGTGACCAACACTTGATTTTTCTGACTACAGATCTAATCCAGGTGGACCCCTGCTAGCCACTTGAGAGACTTCTTCTAAACTCCCCACACGCACAAACCACAGCACTGGGAGCTTATGGGAACATACCATTTTAATCCTGCCTCTTCCTACCTCAGCCCGTGAGAATCTCCAAACATTGACATCCAACCTTTTCCATATTCAGCCAGACTATCTTCTAATGTTCCTAAAATCTAACTTCCTGCCTGTTGGAACTGCCATCTGTCATCTGCTCTATTCTTACCCGATGCCACAATCCCCTACCCGGATGTTCACCTTTTAGGAATGACTTGCTCTGCTTGTTAAAAATTTGGAGGAAAGAACATAAAAAGGGGCCGGCGCTGTGGCATAGTGGGTAAAGCCACTGCCTGCAGTGCCGGCATCCCGTATGGGTGCCAGATCAAGTCCCAGCTGTTCCACTTCCGATCCAGCTCTTTGCTATGGCCTGGGAAAGCAGTGGAAGATGGCCTAAGTCCTTGGGCCCCTGCATCTGCATGGGAGACCCAGGGGAAGCTCCTGGCTTCTACCTTCAGATAGGCGCAGCTTCAGCCAATGCGGCCAACTGGGGAATGAACCAGTGGATGGAAGAGCTCTCTCTCTCTCTGCCTCTCCTCTCTGTGTAACTGTGTAACTCTGACTTTCAAATAAAAATAAATAAATATTTTTAAAAAAGAACATAAAAATAACTCAAGTCCAGGACTCTATACAAAAAAAAAAAAAAAAAAAAAAAAACAGACCAGAAGACCAGATAACCAAAAGCAGAACAACAACAAATCCCTGGGAAATAGTGGTGGCTGGCATAAGTCTCTAATTCCCTCAGTTTAGCACATCATAGGCCACATAGCCTCCTCCCCTTTCCTTTCAATATAGTTCATTATCCAAAGAATCCTCAGTCTAGGGCAGGATACATATACCACTCAAGGGACCTCGGGATTCCATGTTTGCTTGCATGTAGACTGGAAGCCAAGTGAAGGTAAGGATTAAACTTGCTTAACTTCAAAACTTAGGAAAGTGCTACATATCTGAAAAATGCTTAATAAATATTTGCCGAGTGCATGTCCTACAATTTCAAGTTGGTCAGACTATGAGAAATAATAAAATCCTATTAAGGAAAGAACTTCTTTGTATTTGAACTATTAATTCATGGGGGGAGACTTCTATCCATTGATTCATTCCCAAATGCCCACAATGGCCCCCTAGTTGGGCCAAAATCAAGAGCCAAGAACTCAATCCTGATATCGCATGTGAATGGCAAGAACTCAATTACTTGAACCATCATCATTGTCACCTCCCTGATCTGCATTAGCAGAAGCCAGAGCTGGGAATTGAATCCAGATACTTCAAAGTGGGTTGCAGGCATCTTAAACACTAGGCTAACCATTCACCCCTGCTACACTATTATGGTAAAAACCTCTATGAACTACTGTCTATTCCAAGCAAGTGCTTGGAAATTTAAAGGCAATATTTAAATTGTTCTGCATAACAAGTAAACTCTGACTTTTGTACTCATGCACTGGCACCTTGTAAAAGGATTGTGGGACAATTCTGAATGAGGAGATGAAAGGAAGTGTCTAGAGGAAGAAAAAGACCTGGCCCAGTGAGACATAGGCACATGGGAATACCCTTGTGGTGGGGAATGGTAAATACATTCTAGGAACAGTGACATCTAACATTTAATTAGTTAGTTTCTTGTTTATGCTGTAATTACCATCCTTTATCCCAAAGCACTCATCCAGAGTGTGTTACGTATACAAGAGCCTTATAATAGCAATGCTTTAGACAATGAAGAAAAATCTGACAAACAGGGAAGTAAAATGGGTAAAATGCCATCTTTGGCATGAAGAAACTAGTGATAGATATAATTCATGCCCCCACATCTCAATTTATTTTGAAAGAAGATGACTCCAGAAACTATAGCTGATTGTTTATCTAAATGTATGCTTCCCCTTCATAAAAGATAACTATCACCAAGAAGTTCCTGTTGAGCCAAGGATGACATTTCCTAGCCCCCTGATGCTAAGTGGGGTAATGTGACCAGTTCTCATCAGGGAGTATAAGCAGAAGTGCAATTGTTACATCTGAGCCATGATACTTAACAACTGGTTGTGCTTTTTCTGTGTTCTCTTCAGCTGATTGTTATGTGGGTGGGAAATATATTTATTATGTCAAATCACTAACATTCTGGTGTATGTTATAACAACTAGTATTATCCTAACGTATTCTGAAATTGATACCTTTTGGGGAGGGGTGAAGCCTTTACAGAAATCTAACTATGAGGTGTTGGCCATCAGCAAAGATACAGATAGAGAAGATGACAACCCTGGAACCCTGCACTGCACTGGAAAAACCACAGCTGGGAGGACAGATCTATAACTGGAGGCAATGGTTAGAAAGAGCTGAAATATTAGTGTATAGTAGTTTCTCCTCCCTGCCTGTAGAAAAGTTTCAAAAAATAACTGATGACTTCAGGAAAGAATTGCTAATTTGAGACCAGAGATAAAAAGGAAAAGCCAAAGTCTAGAAATGCAAAGCTGGAAAAGCCCACAGCTTCAGAAACTGTGACGCTGAAGAACAAACGAAAAAGGTTTTCTGTAACAGACGCCCATGATGACTTCCCACAATGACGTAGAAATGCCCAAGGACCTGATTAATGAAATCACCTCAGCACTCAAGCCCAAAGTAACCACTGGAGACATGGATGGTTAAGACATGGGTAAAGAAATGAAGCAGGTTCAAGAAGCAGGGCTAAGAAACAACTTTCATTATAGTTGGTAGTCGAACATAAAGAAAGCAAATAAATAAGTAACCCAAGAAAATTCTGAGGGAACTATATTATCAAATAAACTAACTGGACCTATGTAAAAAGAAAAGATAAAGATAAAACAACCTCTAGGTGTTCAGACTTGGACTGGGAAGAAGCACCTGAGAAGATCATGAGAGATCTATAAAGGGCACAATTCCCAACAACTACTTCAGATGTGGCCATGGGCAGTAAGGGACAATGAAAAACCTCCCAGAGGGTGCCAGGGCTACAAAGAAAATCAAACAACACACTTCCTCCAAAGCCAGTGTCTAATAAAGGAATTTCTGGCACTATTAGTTTGGCTCTAATAGGATGGCTAGTATGATTTCTCCCATGTTATGTGTTAATGACTTTTATTCTTCCCTTTTCCAAATGGGAATTTTCAGTGCAATTATTCCAAAACTAATCTATCAATGTGTATTTGGAAATCAATAACATGCCTTTTAGTCTAAAGATTTCCGGACAATAAGGGGCCATATTCAGACTTACCTGGGGGTTGGGGAGGGTTTAGCATCACCCACAGAACCTGGACTTTGAGATAGATGCAGCATCTACATGGGATTTGGATTGTCTCCTGTGGTTGCAGTTTTCCTGAATGTGTCTGAAGAGATAGGATATGGTAGAAACAGTCATTTAGCAAAATGAAGCAAGGCATGTCATGTCTGAGGTGTTCCTTTTCTATCTTCATTCTCATCCACAACTACCAGCTAGACATGGAAAGCTCCAAGTTCCTAGAGTTCAGAGAAAGAGCCTGGGTCTCCAAATCATTGAACCCAATACACACATTGGACTGCCAGATGAGCAAGTTAGAAGCCACTGAAACTCTATTAACTACTGAAATATGGAGGTCACCTCAGCTAACACAATGACCATTTAAGAGAAAAGAGGGAGGCTATTCCTTGCTATTATGACCACTGTTGGCAGCTGCATGACACGATGACACTTAATTGCATGTTTGCTACCAGGAATCCAAAACCATCCCCTTTATCATTTTAGCATTGCCTCTGTTTAACATCAGTTCCAGGCCATGTACCAGCTGTTCTTAACAGACTCCTCGCCAGTATCCCAAGTATAATTTTTTTTTTATTTTTATAGTTCATCCCCCTTATATTAGTTCAACATTTATAGGGGAAAAAATAAAGTGCACTATGTTACTTTTTTAAAAACAGTATTTGACCCCTGACTTCCTGTCCTTCAAGAAGGATAAAGTCCAAGTGATTTAGGAATGCACACATACACTGATCTGTATTCCCCAACCTTTTTCTTCTTCAGCTTCATGTCCCCTACAAATGCCAGTCCTGAGCCCCAATCACCAGCCAAGCCCTTTCTGTGACACTGCTTTGTAAATGCTGCTCCCTCAGCCTAGACTACGCTCCACCTGCTTCCTCTCTGCCTGGGGAATGTTTACTCATCTTTGAAAACCAAGCTTAGATGTCACTTCATCTGTGAAGTCTTATCCGACACTCCCATGTAGAAGATGAAGCTCTGTTATGATCAGATCACCTCCATCAGCCAGCTTCACATATCATGCCTACTATTAGGACGTTGGGAATGTTTAGCAATCTATAGGGTTTGATTTTGTTGCTAGTTATTTTGTTAATGAGTCAGCCACTACAGTTACCTTCTTACTAAAAACTGCATAGTACTGCTTTGCCAAATAGTCAGCCACACATTTGAAACGGACTGGTTCCCTTCAATGAGAGAACATAGCCAAGATTAGTTCTGCTGAATGGGATCCATACAATGCTTTTTTGATGGATTTTCTAAGGTTGTGAAGTATTTGGAGGGCAAGACTCCAAAGGAATCTAAGAATTCCTGCATCCTTCATAGCTTTTACATCTCAGCAGGCAACTAAGTTAGTTAAAAACTCGCTTGCTATCAGTGAGTGATTAGATCTTAAAATGTAAATATACTTTATTTGGAGCTTTACATGATTTGATCACCATTTTGGCAAGTCTCCATCCATACTCCTATTCACATGAACTGATTCAGTAACCCAGCACACACCCATCTGTTTGCAACTGCAGCTGCCACACTCAATGAATATATTTATTTTGCTTCTATTGCGAATTGTCAAATATGCAAAAGTGTAATCAATATCTAACTGGATATTATCTTCTTATTCAGACATTTTCTCTTTTATCCAAACTTATGTTAATCCAAATTCATACCTTTTTAGCAGCCAGCACATATTTGATTACATTTTCTGGTGTGGTTACACCTGAACACAGACATATTGAGACATCTACTTTCCATTTATTTGCCCTTTCTATTCCAGATAAGACATTTATATTGATTTTTAAAACATCATATGTACAGACAGTCTATATTACCTATAAATATCATTTCAGGAAAAGAAAAAGAACATACAAAACACTGTTTATAAAAAGGGGCCTTTGGATCTGACTGAAGAGAGAATCATGGCTCCAAACACATCCAGGAAGCGAAAACAACTACGTGTTTCTCACTCTTGGGATGTTTCTGTGGTGCAAGTCTTCTTTCACATTACCATGTCACCTTGCCAACAAAAATTATGATTTGTATGTGATTTATTTTTCTGCACATATAGGCTGTGAGTGCATGATGCCTTATTCATATTTATGCCCCTAATAAGTAGCTTAGGGCATGGCACAGGGAAGGAGCTGAGTAGATCCGTTGAGAATGAAATAACAAACAAGAATCCCACAGGGATATGCAAAACTTGCCTCTCATGACAGACCTATGCTCGGCATTCTGCCCATCCCAACCTTAGGAAGCTTTCTCCACCTTGCCTAACATCAGAGTTGCATAAAAACTCTCTCCATTTTCTCTCCTCCTGGTGGGCCTCTGCAGTACTGCATTCATTTCTGTATCCCCAAAGAGCCTGAGTAAGTCAGTAAACACTATTTAAATCAAATGACTCCCCAGAATATTGCTATAAATAATGGTTGGGATTTTTAGTGCTAAAAATACTATACTTTAGTTATATTATTGATTCAAAGGGCTTGAAGGAAGAGAGGATTTTATTTGAGGACCTGAACATTATTTAAACTACTGTTTTTATGAGGGCATGTATAAAGTTCTAATATTTTTAAAGCAAATTTATACACTGCAAACCAATTGTCAGTTAGAAGTTGGCTATTCAATGGGATTAAGTGTATGAGACCAAATATCCATATGAGAAATAAAATGTCCATCATGAGGATGGATCTAATATTTGGTTCTAATGATATCTCATGATCAATATTTAATCATTTTGTCTTTCAAATTTAATCTAGATGATTTTTTTTACATAAACAGAAAAATAGTGGTTAGTAAGAAAGAATTTCACTTCAAAATTATTTAAACTTTTCTTAATGAAAATGTCAATTTATGATTTTATATATGCTTTCACAATTTTTTACAGTTATTTGCCACTTAATAAAATAAATGCATTCTAGAAAAATACACTAGCAACTAAATCTGATACATGACTATATTTGAATTTCCATTAAAGTATTAGGGTTAAGGGGTGGGCATGTAGTCTAGCAGCTAAGACTACAGTTTAGACTTCTTGCATCCCATATCAGAATGCCTGTATTCAAGTCCCTGATCTGTACCCGATTCCAGCTTCTTGCAAATATGTTGCCTGGGCATCAATGATGGCTCCACAGGAGAGACTGGATGGGGTTACCAGATCCCAGCTTCAGCCTGGCTCAGCACTAGCTATTGTGGGCATTTGTGGAGCGACCCAGCTGATGCGAATCAGTCAGTCAATCTCTCTCTCTCCCCCACTTCAGTCTCTCTGAGTCTATAAATAAAGTTTTAAAAATATTGGGATTACAGACCCATTAAAAATGAGGACACATGTAAAAGAAAATTACAATGGAAAACTAAGCATTTTCTTTTAAGACATGAATATATAATTTTGAAAGCAGATTAAAACACACTGTAACACTATATTCAAAATAATTTTCAAAGATGTTTAAAAGCCTGCAGAAGTAAGCAAGCATTCAAAATTGATCCATGAGAGAGCATCTTGGGCAACCATCCTCACTTTCTGTGGTCACTGTAATAGCAGAACTTTCAGTTTAGTGTCCTCCTAAAATCCCACCCCCATTTTCAAAATCAGCCTCCAAATAAGCTATCTTCTTATTTCAAAGTCATGCTGAAAATGTTGGGGTTTTCTCCTTCCAAGCACCCTGCTACAGTAAGACACATAGCATCCACTAGTGGGGAGATACGACTTCAAGTAAACATAGGACTGCAGGCTTCATTTCTTCTGCTGGGATCATGTTTCTTAGATTCTTAAGTTCACAGTGTTACAGTGGAGCCAGAGTGCCTGGACTCGAGCATGACTTTATCTTTCACTTCCTATGTGACTTCAGACAAATCAAGGAAAGTCTCTGAAAATTAGTTTTCAAATCTACACAACAGGGTATGAGTGACAGCTACCTTATGGGGGACTGTAAGAACTAAAATATTAGTATCTGCAAAATGTTCAAAATAGTATCTGTTTCAACTAGGTGTTCTCACTCATAACTCTATTTATGTAAATAAGATAAAAACATTATTCATAGTATTATTCTAATTTAATTTAAAAGAAAAAGGTAAATATTTCAACATATTTTATTTATTATTATTATTATCATTATTTTTAACAATTCCCAAATGCATAGACTGCGATGAATTTTCATGTTCTACCTCATGAATTTGACTGGCTTAATGTATTATGTATAAAACTGCTACGTTTATTTCTGTATGCAAGGAGATCTCTCATTTTAAACTATAAATGTGATTCTTCAATGACTTATTTAATTTTTTTATTCTCTACACTGTAGAAAGTCCTTTGAGATAAGGATTGCCTTCCTTATCTCCGGTATTATATTCTGTTTAAGTATTCTTGTCTTTATACATACTTAATAAGTAATAAGTGAGTTAATGACTGAGTTGGTGAGTGGATAGCCGACATTAAATCAGATAGTAAAGATAGGTCCAATTCAACTTACAGGAACAGGCACTATTCAAGATAATACAAGACAGTTTCGTTGGCAGGGGTCAAGAGGCCCCTGGTCTCACACATTGGGCTTTCTGCCTCCGAACCTATGCTTGCAGTAAAGAGGTGGGGAGGAGATATCTCTAAGCAGCACAGGAGGAAATAAGTAATAATAATAATAATAATAATAAAAGGGCAATAGATCTAGACTATGAAGATACTTGTACTGTGTGACTCCAAAATTTAGGACTGCTCTGCTCTATAAAGTTTATTTCATCACTCTGGGAGGAACAAGGCCATAAACTTACCTTAAAAACTACTCTGAACTTTAAAAATATCACATAGAAAGCAATCATACTTTCCACTCTTTTGAGCCCCTATAAAAATAATAGGCATCACTATTTCATGCAAAATCCATGACAATGTAGGCAAATTTCAAGTAATATTACATTCTGAAACAAGTAACTTTAACCTTAAATAGTTATCCTAAAATGTACATGAGTAGATTTTCTACCCACTTTAAGGATTTTCCTCAGGAATCAGTCTCTAAGGCAATAGCACATTTCAAGGAACTAATTACTTTTCTATCAAGGAAAAAAAAATGCATTAGGGCAGAAAGAACTGTATCTTCTAGGTTTCTTAAATTTTACCAGTAATTTAGTCTACTTTCCTAGTACATGCACAGTCTATATCAGATCTTCTGGAACACCATTTCAAAGTGCTAGATGAAAATTCAAGAAAATATTTCTTTTTTTTTCAGTGCTTAATGAAGATGCTTTATAGATTTTCACATTTATAGATAGGCAGGTTTACATAAAACCTGGACAGATGGGATTTTAAGTGGCCAAGAAATGTGACTGAAGCCACATCCTGCCACTTCATTTTTTTTTCTAGACATCTCATTTTTATCACCATACCAAAAAGCAGAAAAACCGGCTGATGTTCAGTTGCCCCACAGCATAAACAAGGAAGTGTTAATAGCAAATAGAAAACACTGGATGAGGCAATCTTTGCCACCACTCCATCTGAATATTCCATAAACATACAAGCTTAAGGAACGGAGCAATGGGATGTGAAGAGAAGCGAATTTGGAAATAGTTTCAGCTGATGCATGGGTCTACTCCATGAGAAAAAAAGAGGCAAACAGAAAGGAAAGAGGGGCGAGGGGCAATAGAAACAGAAGATCTGGGAACGAGAACTCTCAAAGTGGCAGGCAGGATAGTTATTTTCCAGAGTCCACGTGGGGCTCTGTGCATGAAGGAGGTCAGGGAAAGGTGAAGGTGAAAGGGGACCAGGAAGCACAGAGCGGCCAAGTGATTCACTCCTTTCTCCAAAAGTCTGAGTAGTGCCAAAGGAGGAATAAGAGTGCATTAAACAGAATGCTATTTGTGATAAACAATCGGTCTGAACCTGACCAGCAAGAGGGAGAGGATCAGAGTATTGACTTTGTGGAGCACATTAGCTTGTCTAGGTCTCCAGGAGACTTTTCATTCAGTTGGGGGAAAAGTTATTTCTACCTGGGACATTCACTAGAAGGTAACCAGAAAAGATATTTACAACAGGGAAAGCCTGTGCGGCCTCCCAGATAAGCCTTTTATTCCTGCTCTACATTAAAAAAAGAAAAAAAAAAAAACAAAACACCTCCAGCAATAATTAAATGCACATCCATATGCATGATGTGCCCAATTACCAAACTGTTCAAGTTTTGGTTACTTTAATAACAAAAAACTCTCTAGTCTAGAAGTCTGTAGGTTTTGTTCATATGTTACAAGTTAAGCCTTAGACAACTTTTCACACACATACACTTTCTTAAAGAGTGAAACAAAGCAAAACTTGATTTTCTTCTCTTTCTCTCTCTCTCACACACACACACATCCATTCACACACATATTTTTAAATGTTACCCTCTTTTTTCAAAGTCTTTTCTGTAAGTTATTCCATAAGGACAGGTAAGAAGTCAGATCTCTGAAATCTCTCACTTGTCCTGTGAAATATGATGCTGTGGCTGATCTGTATTGGTTAATAAACCACCAGTCCTCTGTCCCACACTGTACTAGACATTTAAAAGCAGTAGCAGTAAGCTACTTGCTTTTCCTTTGACCTGGGGTTAAAAAAAAAAAAAAGATTCCCAACAAGATCCAAAACAACCCAATCAATACAATAATGGAAATGTGAACTGCTATTAAAAATATTGACATCATGCTTAATTTGATTAGAAGGCATGTTGAACCTGCATGGAATCAACCCAGTGCCCATCGGTGCAACCTAAATTTCCCCAGGGTAATCTTGTATTTATCATAACACACTGTCAAGACACTTGTGTAGTCGCAAATGTTGTGTACATGGCACGTCTGTCATATTGCACACTGGCAATTTTTTATGAATGGATACTCATAAATACTCATAATTGGAGAAAATAGATGGCGGCATACTATTTTGGAAAAAAAAAAAAAAGGTCATTAAGCACTGGGAGCAAATAAGGAGGCAAATGGTGGGCGGCTTTTGGTGCCATCCAGGGCAACTGCATTCCCCAGTCCCTTAGCAGAGTGTGTTGGAAACAGCCATGGAGCTTTCCTTAGAGACCCGCTCACCCTGTGGGGAACCGAGCCTCCGAGCACAGACCGCGCACAGCTCGAAGAATAAAACGCATACATGTCCCTGCGTTGCCGAGGGCTGTTCACGCACCAGAGAATCCGCACTCGCCAAATCCGGTCCCACAAGTGTGTGCCATGTGAGTGTGGCATCTCCCCACAAACGAACAGAAGGCATTAAGAGCTCGGCTCCAGCCCTTCCCAGTCAGGCTGCCGGGACGCTTTTCAGGGGCTGAGACTTGCGTGCCTTCCCCCACCGGGAAGGCGCCTTCATCAAAACCCCTCTCCGGGCTAAGTCAGCTTTGTATGTCAGCCCGCTCGGCACCACAGGGCAGTTTCCAATCCTTCGGCAACTCGGGTCTGGCTAGGCGGCCGCGGCGCCCGTTCCCAGCGGAAGCCCCCATGCGGGAGCAGCGAAGCCCCCGCCACTTACCTAGCTCCCGCGGACCCCGCGCGGCGGTGGCACGGGCTCGGGCGCCACCGCGGGCGGGGGGATTCCCTGCGACGGCTCCCCTCGCCGAGGATCTGTCGCTGGAAGTCCCCCGCCCCTGCGCCGAGAGGAGGGTCTCCCCGGCAGGCTGGAGCTCCCGGCGGGCTTGCCCCTTCTCTTTACATCCCTGACTCTGGTTCCCGGTCTCTAAGAGGAAGGCTCAAAGGAGACGCGGCGGGAGGAAGCTAAGGCATCCTTAAAAAGAACAAGAATCTTCATGGATCTTCACCCCCTTCCCCGCGCGGGGTCCCCATCCCCCTGCCGCCGCCGCCCAGACGACAGAGCGCTGGAAGCGAGAAGGAAAAATCGAGCGTGGCTGAGCTCGCCGCGCGGAAGGAGCCGGAAAGGCGAGCCGCGCCAGCCGGGGAGTTGCCGCTTGTTCAGGCTGCCCGAAGCGCGGCGGCGGCGGCGGCCGGCGGAGGCGGAGGGCGCTGGGCTCTGGGTGGGTGTGTGTCTGTGGCGGAGCTGGGAGAGGCTGCGCGCGGGAGGCGAGGCGGGGCGCCCGGGGGCGCCGCTCCCCCGCCCGGAGCTCGCCGGCCCGGCGCGCACACTCGCCCGCGGCACCTCAGCTCCTGCTCCTCCTCCTCCTCCTCCTCCCGCGCTCCGCGCACCCGCGGGCTGGAGCGGCCGCCGCCGCCAGCGCCTCCTCCTCGGCGCTCGAGGTGGGCGGCGGGGAGGGGTGGCGAGGCTGTGTGGCCGACCCGGCACCACGGGGAGACGCCAGGGCTCGGCCTCGCGGTGCCGGAGCTGTGCGCTCGGCAGGGGACAGCGCCCCTGTGCCCCGGGGCGCGGCCCGGGCGCGGGCGGGCAGGCGCGGGCCACACCTCGGCGGGAGCCTCCCGGTGCTCCCACGCGCCCGCCGCTCCCTCCGGCCCCCCAGGCCCAGCTCCACACCCACCTGCCTCGCTGTGCAGCTCCCACCCGGCTGCGCTGGGCTAGAGGGTCCGCGGCCCCGCGGCCGCCTCACGCACGGCGGCCGGGAAAGCCCGGGATACCCCGCCGAGACGCGCTCTGGCGGCTTCGCGGGATTCCCCGGCCCTTCTGCTCTCAGCGGCTGGGCTCTCCCCCACGCGCCTGCCCCCTACACGACTCTGCCCCTGGGCTCGCCGCTCCACCCGGGAAACTGTGGCGAGGACAGATGGCTCCTGAATGATGGGGCCAGGAGTATCTTGCCCAGGAAGGATCTGCGGGGTTAACTAGGAGCGCTGAGAGGATCTGACTTTCCTCTGGGCACCTCCAGCTCTGCCTGGGGCTGTCACTGGCCCAGAGTAACCCAGCTTTCCTGGCTTTGCAGGTAAAGCCGGGTCGGTGGCAGCTTTAACTCCTGCTACTCACGGGGGCGCTGTTCAGACCCTGGGTTTTTGTTTCTGTTTTTGTTTTCCTTTGTCCATCTTCTTACCCAACTGGGAGACTATGCCAAGTTGTCCCTTAGTGAGGTGTCAGGGTGGATATGCAAACCTTTCCGCATCTTCGGGGCGCAGTAAAGACAATGAACTTGAATAATGTCCCTGGCCCTACAGGTTCCTGATCCAAATGCTCTTTGACAGGGCAGAATAGAGACAGCCCACGTGCTTACAGGAGTTTTTGCGAACCCTTTACAGGTATCTTAAAAGATGGGATTCTAGAGCTGCTTTAGAACAAGAAAGGCGAGTGTTAAAGTCCAAATTCACTCGGGTTTAAGTGCATCCCATTAAATTTTTGCTCTTTTCTTTGGTTTCCACACCTAGGCCTCACGCGTCCCCGCTGGTCTTACCTTGTTCTGAGTGGTTGTTTCAGATGTCGGGCATCCGGCTACGTGGTCAGGCTGGAAAATGGCCCTCTGACACCATTGTCTCCCAGCAAGAGCCTGCCCTGGCCTTCTGCTCTGTCACGCAGCCTCAAGTATGAGCATGGCCTCATCCCCAAACCTTTATCTCCAACCCTGGCCTGTTCCCAAGCTCCAGTTCCACATCTCCGGGGACCTGCCGGAAGTCCATTTCCTCGCCTGCAAGTCTTTCTATTCTTCACAGAGTTTACAGACTTTGTGCGGATGACTCTTCTCCAAACGCACCCCTGACTGCATCATTTCCCATTTACAAATGGCCCGTGGCTTCCCCAGAAAGCGTCTGCAGACGTCTGTGCCATTGCACACATGAGTAACTCTCCCTCTGGTATGTTCCTTCCCAAGTCTCAGGTCCGAATCACTGCAGTCCTTCAGGGTCCACTCCACACTCTGCCGCTTCCTGACCACTCAGTCCCTTTGATGTCCATAGCATAATTTCCCAACTGTCTTTTTTAACTTTAATTAATTTTAATTTTATTTATCGACATCTAATATTTGTCCTTTTAATGGAGTGCAGTATCATAATTCAATACTTGTATACAACATGTAATATGACAATCAGGTTAATTATCATTTCCATCTCTTCAAATACCATTTCTAGGTGTTGGGAACCTTCCAACTCTTCTCTTCCAGTTATTCTGAGAGTTACAAGTATGATTAATTGTTGCAGGCTATAATTACACTACTGTGCTATAGACCAGTAGAACTACTCCCCATCTCTAACTGTACTGTTTTGGTACCCAGAAAACTTTGTAAAGATATGTTTCTACTGCTATTGATAACATATATATAAACACACACCTTAAGTACATACCTTACTATTTAAAATTGTAAGTTGCTCCAAGGCCTTATTATTCTTATTCCCAAGACCATGCCTGCAAAAGAAACCTATTCTTGTAACAAACATGCATTTTACAACTTTCGTCAGACATGATATTTGTCAATTGAATGGAGTTTATAAAGTATTCTAAGCCTAGAAAAACTTCTTATGATTTATTTTGAATGTGCCTAACTTTATTTTTTTAATTAATTAATTTATTTGAAAGACAGAGTTAAGAGAGGCAGGGGGAGAGAGAGAGAGAGGTCTTCCATCCGATGGTTCACTCTCCAGATGGCTGCAACAGCTGGAGCTGTGCTTATCTGAAGCCAGGAGCCAGGAGCTTCTTCCAGATCTCCCAGGAGCTTCTTCCAGGAGCTTCTTTCAGGTCTCCCACAAGAACTTGAGCCATGTTCTACCTCTTTCCCAGGCAGAGAGCTGGATCGGAAGTGGAGTGGCTGGGAATCGAACCGGCACCCATATGGGATGCCGGCAATGCAGGTGTAGGCTTTACCTGCTATGCCACAGTGCTGGTGGGTGCCTTACTTTAAATAGCATGATAACCTTTTATGAATTTCAAGGTGTGAAAAATTCTCTTACTATTTTAGTCCAACATCAATGTTACTGACCACCTCAATAATAATTTTTGACAAGCATTTGTTTTAAACATTTACTGCGGTTTTCCATTATATTTAAGAAATCTTAATCCATTTGTTTACTATGTGAGTGTCACTAGTCAAGAGAGCACATTTTCTATTGTATAAGACACAATGCTACTATCTCCATTTCTGGGAAGCAGGTGCTACAAGTAAGTTATCCATCAAGTCTGAGTCATGTCTGTAAACATGTAATGATAAGAAAAACAGTCTTTGAGGGGAAAAAAATCTAATTTTGCTTAGGAAATTACTCATATTCCAAATGAGTGATAGAGAATAACTCATGGATACAGACTGTTGGGAATAGCAGAGTTCTCCATACGCACAGCTTGAATTCTGGAAAGCTGCAGACTCTTGTGTTTATTACATCATGTGGCTCCATCTCGGGATACACAATTAGGATTTTCTTAATTTGTTCTCTAAAGGAAAAAAATGAAATGATCTAGCTGAAAAGTCAGACATATTTTCACATTGCTCCTTAAGCTGTCTTCTTTTGATATTTTTATTGATATTTTTGAAATGTTCCTTTGGCTTGTGTTTTAATTTCTCAGATTTACCTTGAGATGTGATAAAATTATATTAAAGTGGAAAAATGTCTATTTAGTATATCAAAATGCTTGCTTCATAATGCTGGGTAAAATAAATAGCTGTGATACAAGTTTAATCTGAAATACCTTTATGCATAACATTAGATTCCATTTAGAAGAATGTATTTCTTCATACATCAAAATAGTGGTATATAGAAATATAGATGTGTGTGTGTATATACACACACAATATAAAGTATAATAGTTTCTTGGATTGTTCGTTCTTGAATACAATATTTTGAAATATTTAGTATAATCTTAATAATATCATTACCAATATTATTAACTTACCAAGTTTGGAATTTGTGTTGGCAAGTTCATTTGTGCAAATAGTCTATAGATTAGAATAAGGCAGTAAAGGCTGGGAAATCAACATATTTCAAAATGTTAAAAGCATAAGGATAGTAATTTATACATTTTTGAAGACTAAAGAAAGAGAGTTTGAGTTAATTTTTTTTTTTCAAAATCAAATGGAGGGGCAGGCATTTGGCCTAAAAGTTAAGATACTGGTTGAAACACCTACATCTCATACCAGCCTTCTGAGTTTGAGTCCTGGCTCCACTCCTGATTCCAGCTTTTATTATTGTGTATCCCAGATTCCAACTACTGTGCATTAGATAATGGCCCTGGTGATTGGGTCCCTGGCACCCACATATAAGGACCAGATTAAGTTTCTGGCTCTCAGCTTGATATTTAGAGTGGGTCAATAGATGGGAGTTCACTCTGTATCTCTCTCTGTATCTTTGCCTCTCAAATAAATGTTTTTAAGAAGTGCAATGAAAGCAAATATATGATATATTGAATAAAGCTAAACAAAAACAAAAGTGCATTTCACAAGAATATTTAAAAATTAAAGGCATAATACACAAACATATCTGTAAATGCGTGTGTGTGTGCACATAGGCATTTATATATTAACAAACAAGCGGATATTCTTTGATTTGGGAGGCAGGTTTTGTTTCATTTGGTATAACCTGGTTATACCAAAAGATGGGTAAATAGTAACCTTCCTCAAACATCATTACCATGAGCACAATCTTACATTCTTAGTCATAAACATAATCATATACAGAGCTCAAGACTATACTTTTAAAAGTAATGGCAGATACTACTTTGGTTCTCATTGTCATACAAGAAAGTGGCCACTGAAGGGTAATTAGAATTGACCATATTCTTACACCTAATGTGCATTCTTTTCCCCTTCTCAATAAAAGTGTAGGGAAGTCCAGACAATTTTGAGCAACTGAGAATCTTAGCAGCCACTGAAATACTACACTCACACATTTCAGTAGGGACTTGAAAAATAAATGAGCTGTATGTTCTCCATGGAGGAGATAAGTACAATTTCATTGATTCCTTGGGATTTAGTTGAGACAGATTTGGCTGTCCTTTGAAGACTTAGTGTAAGAAATAAGCTTCAGACTGACTGTATTTGTATATTTTTAGGCAGTCCTTGTTCTGAGCATGAACTTTCTGAAAGACAGTAGATGTTTAAAAAAAATGTTTCTGCCATACAGTAGCATAGTATAAGTACTGTGTTTGAGTGTACCCTCAAACGTGCTTTCAGATGTCAATAGTATCTAAAACAATGTAGTTTGTTCTTAGAATTTTTTTAAAAGATTTATTTATTTATTTGAAAGTCAGAGTTACA